GAAGCAATTTGCCCTTGCTTCCTTCCTAGGGCTGAGAGAGGATGACTGGCCCAAGGTTACTCAGCTGACTTCATGCTTAAGGCAGGATTAGAACATAATTCTCCTGGTTTCTAGCCTGATGCCTTAACCACTATACTACTGACTCTCTCTCTTTTGAAGTTAAGTCATTTATATATCAAACAATTAATTAAATATGCTGCGTCTTTACAAAAGTGGCTTCACTACCTGCAAGAGTTGTATCATTGATGACAATATTGATTGTGTGACACCAATTGCTACCAGTTAATTTGATACACTTTTCCAGGAGTTCTTAACCCAAAGCACTGGTGGAGGTAGGTGATCAGTCAAGTTTCTGCCTTTAAGAAAGAGTAGGGCTACTTTAATTGGGCTGCACAAATCTGAGCAACCACTAGATGGCAACAAAGAGGTTACAGAAAATTCATGCTGTGTGTATTGACTAGTAAGAGTTTATTAAAACTGGAGAACCTCAGGAACTGCACTGTGGGCAGGATGAAACAGAAAGAATTATGGATCACACTGAGAATTATTCTAAATAATTATTCTAAATAATTCTCTGCATACAGTATCCCATCTGCTATAGCAGTGGTTCTCAACCTGTGGGTCGGGACCCCATTTGGGGTCGAATGACCATTTCACGGGGGTCGCCAAACCACACTGTCCGCCATTATTTTCCCTTTTCCCTAGCTGTCCTACTCCCTCATATTGGTGGCCACACCTACTTGGGGGTCACCACAACATGGGGAACTGTATTATGGGGTCACGGCATTAGAAAGGTTGAGAACCACTGTGCTATAGGGAGATACTGATAATAGTAGCCCATTGCAAAATTATAACTCTCATATGGATATCGATCCATCTCTTTACACGCCCACTTTATAGGACATACGTAAACCAGGAAACTATGACTTCTAGTCCCACATGAAATCAGTTGAATGACCTTGGGCCAATCATACCCTCTCAGCTCTAGGAAGCAGGCAATATCAAACTACTTCCAAAAATCTTTCCCAGAAAACCGTAGGAGTCAACACCGGACTCAAAGGCACACAAAAACAATGATTCTTCCTGTGCTACTCCCTATAGTGTAGCATGCTGCAAAGGCTGTTGGAGGTCAACGTGTAAGGTTTAATCAATTAAAAATATTAAGAATGTTGTTGGACAAGTTTTTTTTTTCCAAAAATGGTTGGTTTCTTTACTATTAACTGAGCAGTTCATCTCCCTTTTTTCATCCTCTCTGTCCAAAAGTGCATATATGAAGGTTAGACTCAGATTTTTTTAAACAATTTTTTGTTAGTTTTCCATTTTGCACCAACAGAAGCTTAAGAACCAACGTGGAGATATGGTGATCAATTACAAAAAGAAAACAATAGCATTATAAATATACAGTTCACACAATATTTCTTAAAATTTCCCTCTCTATATATAATATTATAATCAAATTGATTCGAATAAAATCATTCATTAATGTATCTAAATATAAATTCTCTTAATCAATCAAAACTTTCAACTGCTCAGTGTCTATTCTATACAAATCTATAATTTCTCACATATTTGAACTTAAACTGAAACTCTCCATTTATTTAAGATATATTATAATCTCATTAATACATTTCTAAAATGAATTTTCATTTATATTGCTACATATGAATTTCATTAATCAATAAGCGTTTAGAAGAACTCATTATCTATCCCAAAAATCCTGTTTTATACTTTATTAATTTTTCAAATGTTAAAATTTAAACTAACCTATATATTTACTATTCAGATACCCCAAGTTTCTCTTATTTAAATCTATTCTTTTTCAAAAATTCTCCAATTATTAATTCCATCTCATTCCAAAAAAAGAAAGAACAAATAAAGAGCAAAGAGAAAAGAAGAAAAAGAGAGAAAAAAGGAGCATATTCTTGCTACATTTCAGTATTAAATTCTAAATCATTTCATAATAGCCTCCCTTTTAACAAAATCCAAATCCAAAACAATCCGAGTTGCTATAAAACCTTTACCATCCATAATTATCATCTCAAATTTAATATTTATATCTTATTCTGGGTTTCTTCCTATTCCAAATAGGTTTTCATAGTCGTGACTCAGATTTTTTTGATATCTCAGAGAGTAGCCAGTACTTGGGCTTCACTTTTTTAAATCTTCCATTTCTATAATACATCCTGCCATGGGTCACAGGAATTGCTCAAGCCATGATTTTAAAACAGGGTCTTCAAACTTGGACCTTTTATGACTTGTGGACTTAAATTCCCAGAATTCCTCAGCCAGCCACGCTCAGCCATGCTGGCTAAGGAATTCTGGGAGTTGAAGTCCACAAGTCATAAAAGGGCCAAGTTTGAAGACTCCTGCTTTAGAAGCAAGGATATTGTTTCCTAATTGACATATACATTAACAGTTGTGCCAATTGCCAGTACAGCAACTGCCTTGTAGTAGTAGTAGTACAAATTGTGCAGCCACATCATCTAATATGCCATTCAAATGGCAATCAGAATTCTCTTTTCAGGGCCAAGAGTAAATTCTTGGCTAGAAATACATTTAGTTAGTTTGTTCATAGGTACTGTACAACCATATAGTGATTGCTACATTGTAAAATGTTGCAGCCACATACAGTAAAAATTTAATAATATTAAATTCACTTGAATTTACTGTCCCAAAATGGGTACAGATTCAATCTCAGTTTGGATAACGTGGGAATTTTGTGACATAGGATAAAACTGACCCAAGAATTGGCAAGCCTTTCATTAGGCAGTATTACTCATATACCTTTTTAGCTTACTAGAGCTTCTAGAGCTGGTATTGCTCCTAGATACAGGGACATGTTGTGATTATTAAATATACCTATTTTTCTTAGATTTGAAACCATTTGCAAGAATGCATTTAATTACAGTGTATGATGCAGACTTCTCATATAAATATCACTCTTTGCAACATTAAGACAACGTTGCTGGATCGTCATCCGAGATCATTTTTTTTTCTTTTAATTTTGCCATGTACACCTTTTTCCTTACAGAAGCCTGATTGAACTATGGAAACTATAAATGACTGAAAGCACATCTAGCTACCGAATTGTTGGACCAACAATGCTGCACTTATCTTATCTCATCTTTGTTGTCATGTCAGAGAGTAGCCATGGTAGATTATTCATGTACAGTACTTAACAAATATCCATTAACAGACTTGACTTCATTTTTAGCATTCTCACTTTTTGTTACACAAAGCATTAAACTTTTATTTCGTGCAGCTAAAATAAATGGTCTTGTCTATGCTTAAAGAAATATCAGAATATATTAACACAAATGGATTTACAGTATTTTTATTTTATTTATTTTCCACTTTTATTATTTTTACAAATAATTCAAGGTGGCAGATACATACAACACATCTTCCTCCCCCTATTTTCCCCACAATACCCTTGTGAGAAGGGTTGGGCTGAGAGAGAATGACTGCCCCAAGGTCACCCAGCTGGCTTTCATGGTTTTGTTTCCCCAATGTACAGATCTGCACATAGCTCACTGCATGGTACTGCATATACCACGTTACTCAGTTTATGTCTAGGTGTTTTATCCTTGGGGTGGACAAGCTTCTGCCTTAGTGAATTCTTGGGTTGGAAGTGTGCACGTTGGCTGAAGATCCTCCTGAGCTTTTCCGATATTCCTGCAATGAATGGAATGACTATGTTGCTTTGTTGTTTGTTTTCTTCTGTTATGGAGGAGCTCCTGCTGGGTCTTTTGGGGGACTTGAGGAAGGCCCACTTGGGATAGCCACATATTCTGAGGGCTTCCTTGATATGTTTTAGTTCTTTTTCTCTGCCATCTTTGCTGGTAGGCAGGCCTTCAGCTTGGTGGTGTAGGGTTCTGATAAGTCCCATTTTGTGCTCCAATGGTGGTGAGATTCAAAATGTAAATATTGATCTGTATATAAAACCCACAGAGATCAACGTCTCTCTAAAAGAATGCAAATGACCAGCTGTCTGCAAGCAGTATAAATCCTTCCATTCTCCACCATCCAGTCAGAGCTGAAGAAGCTTCTTTGATGAGAAGCCTAACATCTTCAAAGAAAAACAAGAAAGTCCACCTGCCTTGTGAAAAAGCATCTTTGGCATAACTATGATCTGGATGACTGAGGATCTCCATAGACATAAAACAGGGCGAAACTACTATATCGGGGTATATTTAACACACTACTGTATCAATGCAATAATTATACAAACATTCACCACTAGCTTTAACACCACTAGAACAATCCTTTAAAAAAATAGGCCAGGAAGTAATTGAAGAAGAATGAGTCTGTACTTACAACAGCATTTGCATCCAAAATATGGATCAAAATTAGAAGTTTACCAATTTGCTCAGCAATTACAATGTTGAATAGTATAGTGTTCAAGACATAATATTTTTTTGTTCTTCAAGGATTAAAGTTGCAATTCTACACTCATTCCAATTCCATCTAAAGCAATTCTCCAAAAATTCGACTGGGGCTTTCATTTGTAAGATCTTTACATCTGTCTCTGAGAAGAGGCTGCTGCTTCTGTCTTACTCAATGGAGATATTTTTTAAGTTACACAAGTAGCCAAAATCCTTGAAACTTACTCGGCATTCTGATTCGTCTATAGGCGAATTACACGTGATATTTTTGTTTCACGACCTCTGAAGCCACCTGTTACTCTCTGATTAGCAACCTTCGCAAGCAATTGCATTTTTGGATAAGTAAGCCCAGCCCTTTCAACCAAAGTCTTTACCATGATGACCCGAACGACAGCTCTCTTTTTAAGAGCTTCCCCCGCCTCGCGAAACAGTTTCAGCCAATCACCCTGCGGCCCATGCCTTCTATGTGGCTTTTTTTTCCTTTTGGCGACCAATGAGAAAGAAGGGCAGAGTGGAGGCGGGGGAGTTCCTCGGGCCATTTAGGGACCGATGCGGGCCATGCTCGCGCGGGGATTGGTCGGAGTGAGCAGGCAGTGGGCGGGCTAAGAATGGAGGTACAGTAGCTGGGTGCCGGACCAAGCGGTCGGAGGTGGGGGTGAACGAGAGCGGTCGGGTGGGAAGAGGTGACAGCAGCGACGGCGGCGGCGGCGGCGCCTCGGGCTGGCCCCAATGGAGCTGGAGAATATCGTGGCCAACACTGTGCTGCTCAAGGCGCGCGAAGGTGAGAACCTGGTCTCGGCTGGGAAAGGCTGGGCGATGACAGGGAAGGAACCCCGCGCATTCTCCGGATTGAGCCAAGGCTGGTCCTTTCTGGCCCAGCGTCCCCTCTCCTGTCTGGGCACCGCGGTCCTTAATGCAGTGCACGACGTCTTCGGAGGAGGGGGTGGCCGGTGGAGCTGTGCTCTGGCTGGCTGGCTAGATGGCTTGGCTGGCAAGTGGGCGGAGGACCGGGTGGTCTTCAGTGACAAGGTAGCGGTGGAAGGTCCCGAGGGCCAGCCCGGCTGGCTTGAGTGGTCAGGCGGAGGGGAGACTGGGCTGGAGGGTGATGCTTGTTTGAAAAGCATCCGCGTGAAGGAAGTTGTGGCACGGTGGCCAGAGAGCTCTTGCAGTCTGAGCTGCCCGGCTATCGGAAATAACAGGCAGCAGAGCTTCCGAGACACCAACTAGCAGCCAAGAGAAGTGGACGTTTACTAGGCCTGGCAGAGGAGCTGTCCACGAAGTAGTGGAAACAAGTATAGATACTGCAATTGAGAAATTGATCAAAGGGGCTGTATGGGTTATGGTGGTGGACCTGTAGTTCGGGGTGATACCAGCGAAATGCTCCGACTTCTTCTGTTTAAAACGATTAACTTCTTTGGACTTTAGTATCAATTTGGACACGAAGAGGGCATCCTCAGAAGTCTTACCTCAACTCAAGAGTGTATTTCCCATGCTTGAGAGGAGCTTAGAAATGCCTCAGTGTACAACCCAATTCTAAGGGAATCCCTTCAAATTTATTAAAGCAATATGCTTCTGACAGATACGTTTCATTTTCATATAACACTAACCCAGAATTTAATCATGTTTCATTGAACAAGCTATAGTTTAACATATTGTATTTACCAGACGAATCTCTTAAGACTTAGTGGACCAGGCCACAACAATTTACGTGGGTGCTATTGCAAATCTATCATTATGCTTTTATAGGCAGGTAGACTTATGCATATAACATCTGTTCTCTGCAAAAGGTTTGATATGACTGTGAGGCATTGTATATAAATTTGTATAGATCTATGGGTGTGGATTTACTAAACTGTTTCAGTTCTGCTTATGTGGAGCAGGGTTTATTGACTTGTGAAATTCTTGGTTCTTCTAATTCAATTCCTATGGTCACAATGAACACATTGAATGCCAGTTTGAATTTTGAATTCATCAACCAAGTTGCTGAATTGCAAAAGAGAAAAAGTAGCTTTTGGATTAATTTCTATTAAGGCAATGACTTTGCATTAAAAGCCATGTAGATGTTTACGAGTTTATTGCTGGAAAACGTTCTTTAGCTCTCTGCCATCCACGCATATTTTCTTAAAGGTGCTTTTGCTTTTATATAAGATTTATATTGTTTTTATACAGGATTATTTTCCCTATATGTACAATTTGTGGGAAATTAGAATCAATTACTCAGACTATGGCAGCATACTAATCTTTATTTTATTCAGAAATTGTGCCATATATCATTGGGACATGCTCTCAAGAAAGTATGGATATCATTGAAACCTAAGCAAGACTCATTATACTAACTAAAATGTCAAAGGAAACACATGTAGGAATGTGTCCAAAGTGTCTTAATTTTTTTAAATTTAAAAATGTCATTAAAAGACTGCAAGCTATTGTGAAACAATGGGGAACTTTTAAGAGTTCTGTATGACAAAAAAGATCTAGTTTTCTTTTAATCAGAACAGGAAGTGTTTCCTCATCATTTAGTAGCTATTTTGATAAGCTGTGTGAAAATTAAGATTCTGAATAAGTCTTAGATTTTAAAAACTTGTAAATAATCAAAATTTATAGAATTGAAATCCTTAATAATTAAACCACCTGAATCATAGGAAAGGATTGACATAATGAACAATTGCTGCTGAAATGCTTTGGGATAGTAAAGAGAAACAGATGGAAAGTTAAAAATTGAATTAGGAAAAGAAAATGTCTGGATCATTGTAATAATAGTTTTCTTATAAAGGTATAGAATTATACAGTACATAATTTTAAGTTGGTCATAAAGAGGGAATGGTTTGTATTATGTTTGAAATAATAGCCATGCACTATCTTCTATAAAATACTTAGCTTTTTTTTAAAAAAGAAGACACCATGCTATTAGTTCTGGAAGATTTTCAAACAGTAGACTTAGATTACTTTTTTATGTCAGTCATTGTCCAAATACAGCTGGATATAATTTAAACTGTGTCCATTAAAAGTACAGGAGAAAATGTGACTGATTAGGTATTTATGTATTTATCAAGATTCAAGATCTTAGTTAAATCTGCAGTCTTATGTGTGTTTCAAAGTAAATCCAGCGAGCCATACATCTATGGGGGTGCAGTTTTTTTATGTATGTTAAAGTTTCTTTTGTGCAGAAGTATCGTGACAATGAATCTTCAAAAATTCACATAGAACTTTAGTTCTAATGAAGCAATACATTTTATAAGACATAATTTGCAAAAGTATGGATGCATGTGAGGCAACCAGCCCCAGCCCCTGCCATGTTCGTCATTTGCATAGTGTGCAAAGAGTTGTGTTTGAAATGCACAAGCTTGTTTATAGGGAGAGTTACAAAGAGTAGATACAATAACATTAGGTTTCTATCTACAGACTGTCTCATAGGTACAACCATTTATCCTACTGAAAAATTGCCATGCTTCAATTTTAAAAGAAAACCGTTTACATTTATAGGGCACAGAGATCTACTATTTCCATATATTTTATGCAGTATATTGAGATGGCTTAAGTAGCTATGTGAATAAAATGGAACTCTTATGATCTTTGAGAAGCTCCAATTTGAATCCAATATGAAAACTGATAGTTTGTAGGAAAAGGCATCCAAAGAGCTTGGAGGCCTGTTTTATTTGTTTGTTTATTAGATTTATATGCCACCCATCTCACTTTGTAAAGTAACTCTTTGTTTTGCTTTGTTCAATGAGCACAACAAACAGTAATACTATACAGCTGGCTCTGGTTTTGCTGCAGTTGTACGTACAGCAAAATAAATACATGTTTGGTTATTGTATAAGATCTGTATGTAAATTCTTGCATGATTTTTTTCTAATTTAAAACATTTATGTAGCTGCCCATCTTTCAACCAAGTGTGGGTGGCTCCCAATCAAATTATATTTCTGAATAAGAAGTCTTTATTAAAAATAGCCATCAAGGCTAAATAAGTTCTCAAATTCTCTTTTGTATAGACATACCTTTAAGAAAAGTGACACTATGTTCTGTAGACATTAACCCTCCTTCACTTTTGGTGTTCGATCTGTCTATGAAATCTTCATCCTTTTTTGCTAAAGTACCCATAATCTAATGTTCAATATTGGTCAATATCGTGCATTTTGATGGCAGCAATTTTGCATTACAACAGAGCTAGGCAGCCTCTGAGTGTTGTATTTAATATTTTGATGGAAATAAAAGAATAAGATGAGATAATAATGCAAATAAAAAGAGTTGGTGTTTTTTTTTATTTCCTGAGCTTGGGAGAGAAGTAAAGTTTTTCTATTTTTAAAAGTCAAAGAGCACCGTGAAAAAAATTAAATATGAAGAAAATCAATCTAATAGAAAAACCAGCTTTAAAATTGACAATGAAGATGTCAAAAGTGTTGAATAGCTTCTGCCTTGTGGAATCAACCATCAGCAGTAAATGAACAAGCAATCATGAAATACGTTGTAGACTAGCACTTGGTAGAGTAGTCATGAACACCTTGGAAAAGATAATGGGTTGCCATGTTCAGTCTATACTTATAGAGATCAGAATAGTGCAAGCGATGGTGTTCCTTATGGCACTCTATGGAAGCAAAAGTTGGATTTTGAAGAAGTAAGATAGGTAGAGTATTGACAACTTTGAACTTTGTTGTTGGAGAAGGCTCCTAAGAATACCAAAGACAGTCAAGAAAATAAACATTGGACCATTGAACAAACCAATCTGGAATTCTCACTTGAGGCACAAACAGCCAAGTTATACATTATGTGAAGACTGAAGTCTCTGAAGAACACTAATACTGGGAAAGATGGAAGGAAAGAAAAGTAGAGGTCAGCCAGCAGTAAGGTGGTTGGACTCAATTACAATGGCATTGAGTGCACCATTGGAAGAAAGACCAGATTAGGGACAGATTATTAAGGAAAAAATCTGTGTGGTCACTAAGATTTGACAATAACTCAAAGGCACATAATCAAGCCTATTATAGAGCTTACAGTACCATTTAATGTTTCCTGCTTCAAAATGGCAAATAATTACACTAGCAGTCATATCAGTGAAGACTCTGGAAGGTGGAAAAAAGATGAAGTTCCCAACCCTGAGATGCAACAATACTAAGATGAAACTGAAGCAATGGGGTTCCAAATGTATGAGATAGTGATCTTGAATGCAGCAATAATAAGTCCTATAGATGTACAGCAACATTATATGGTGGAATGTAGTGAAGAGGTAGATCCCTAGGAAGGAGGGGGGGGGGGAAATACCAGAGGAGTAAAAGGCAACTCAGCCCAGACAGCAAATGTGAGAGAAAAAGGGTGAAGACAGCCTTTCTCTAATAGTTAACAGAGAATATTATAGATGTAGCTACTGTAACTAGAGTGCTCAGTCTGGCAAGATTTTGTCTATAGGTTTGAAACAATAAAGAACAATAAAGCTTGGGAAGAGTTATTACGTGTCATTCTTGGTTTTCAGACTGACAGAATCATGCATCTATGAACATACAAGGAATCACAGTTTTAAGGAGTCTTTACGATAGCTAAACATTCTACATTTTTTTCATATATAAATATACATTCAGCAATACATATGCACTCTGATTTTACAGCATTCTGCTGCTCATCAAAGAGAACATCAGCTTTGTGTATCTTTATGATATGCTTCTCTTTGGCTCGCTTCTCCTTATACATTCCCTCTAGACTTCAAAATAACTTACAAAATCTAAGCTGCATTTGTTAAGCTATGCCTCTTTACAGTTATGCACACATAGTGAATCCTATTTACAGTACAAATGTTTTCTAAAGGGAATTAGTAATGATTTTACTAGGGGAGAAATTGGAGGACCTTTCCCCCTTTTTGAGCAATTCTGCCATGGTAGATGACTGTTCTGCAGAGATAAGATGAGTAGAATGGCTGATCTGCTGTCTTCTTTTTCTTTGCAATGGATTTCTTCTTTGGAAGGAAAAAGTGATTGGTGCAGGGGTTTGGTAAATGATTGCTCCGGGAGCCTTGCATTGCTAAAACTTTTACAACATAGACCTTTATAAGGAATATTTACTTCTGGTGCTCGTTATCATCTCCCTTTATGGAGCTGCAGTTGAGAATATTGTACAGCCGGCTGCCCATTGCCTTGATTCACTTCCTTCCTAGATTTGTATAGTCAATCATATGGCACAATTATTTTGTGCCATTTTAAGCAATGTCTTTTCTCTAATACAAAAGAAAAGGAAGGGTTTGCTACACATCAGTCTTTTGTATTCTTCTGTCCCTTTCCTGCTCTCTGTACCCCATGGCTAAGTTTCCAGGTAAAGTTGCCCTCAAGCTGAAACCGTCATGATTTCATTCATGCATTTTTTAGCAGTGCTCCAGAAATGATTCGTTATTGTTCCAGGATATCCTCTTGACTTCCTAACCTGGTCAAGACCCTTGGAATTTGAAGATGGTCCCCCATTTAAGCAATAACTAGAGCCAACCAAGTCAATTCCTGAGATCAGCCAAAGCAGTAAAATGAGTCTCAGAACTGTGATGTGTTAATTCTAAATATCCTTTTTTTCAATATAACAAATTATCTGTACTGTACATGTCTTTCAAACATGAAGGTTTATTTTCTAGCAATATTGCTCATCTTCCATTCAATCCATTACCATAGATTACATAAAGGATGGACTGAATGCTGGTGGTACAAAGAACCAGCATTCTTTGTAAGCTGCAAAAGTAATGAACGCAGTTTCTTCAGTTAGTGAGGCAGTTGCTAACTTCTGGGCAGCGGAGCTGACTGTTGTCTTCCTCCACTCTATAGATGCATTTAAATCTTCTTGTAAAGAGTTTCACAGGAAACTTGGCCAACCTATTTCAGTTTAACCATTCTGGTTTGTAACTAAAGGTCGGGCTGACAAATATTTCTTAAGAATAAACTTCCCTTTTGCTTCCTTCTTAGAAGTATAAGCATTGAAAGAAAAAATGACTATTAGCCATAAATCCTGACATATTCTGATTAGATGGTCTTGCATATCAGTATTTCTAATCTTCTATTCCTTTGCTGTAAGAATACTAAGACTGTAACTACCCTGTGTAGCTTGTACTGTTATGGAGGTGTTTGTGGGGAACACAGGGTGGAATCTGTTTTTCTGCAAAGCATCTGTATGGGTTAATGCTGTCTAGGTACTCAAGGCAATAAAAAGGCCTAAGTGGAAAAAAATTGGTTGATGGATACTGTATGACGAATTACTGGTACGTATAGAAACTGAAGTAGTTTTACATTCCTATAATCCATCATAGTACCTAAGAGCATTTTAGAGGAAGTCAGCAATTAACTTTAATTTCTTTTTATTAGCATTGTAAATTACATATTGCTACTTTGGTTTAGGCTTAGACCGTATCCTTATTTAATGTCCAAACTCAAGTGATCATTATATTGGCAAGCCATAAATTGACTTGACTGCTTAGCAGTAAGGCTGTGCAAAAGACTTTGGATTAGGTACCCTGAAGTGTGTGAATATAGCATCAGTCTGCAATTCTTTTAAGAAGTGGCATCTTTTCCCAGAATCACACAGCTGCTCTCTGTGGCTGCACTCAGTCCTAGAGATGTGATTTATTCAAAGAGTTTCAGATAGGTGCTATATTTATGCTCCTGTGTGGTCCCCATGTGATCTCAAGCACTGCACAGCCCTATGAGGTAAAATCTTAAAGTTCCTTTCCTTTGGCACTTTGTGAAGCAAGTTCATTTGCATATTCAGGACTTGGCACCAAGTAGAGTGTAATGTTTACCTGCAGTTGTGATACGGAAGAAAATCCTGGAGATCATATTTCAATGCATTATGTCATTGAAGGTTATTTACAGGGAGATGGTCCGTGATCTTAATGAAGCTCTTCACAGTTATACTTTCATCATTTATGTCTGCAGAGAGTCCTTTGGAAATGTTCTACAATCTAGATCAGGGGTAGGCAAACTTGGCTCTTTTATGATTCATGGACTTCAACTCCCAGCATGGCTGGCTCAGGAATTCTGGGAGTTGAAGTCCATGATCATAAAAGAGCCAAGGTTGCCTACCTCTGATCTAATAATAGATTGCTCAGAAAAAAATTAGGGTAGATTTGACCACTGATTGAGTTCCAATGGTGAGCAACAATTGGTAAAAACAGGGTATTTATAAATAATGTGTTCTGGTTTTGTCACTACTTTATTTATTTATGAGACTTATTTATTTATTTATGAGACTTATATACCGCTTTAAGTGCAAGCACTCTCTACTGGTGTTTTCTTTTTTCTTTGTCTCATGTAGGTGGAGGTGGGAATCGAAAAGGCAAGAGTAAGAAATGGCGCCAAATGCTGCAGTTCCCACATATCAGCCAGTGTGAAGATCTTCGGCATACATTGGGTGAGGAGTAAGATTTTGCCTGCAACTTTACTGACCCCATTTCACTGGTACAAGGATTGCTTGGTTGTAAGGAAAAAAAGACTTCAAATGCTTGGAACGAGATCGTGTTCGTTCATCCTCTGTGAATTGTGTTCTTTTATCTATTTGCACAACTGTGCTGGATTTCATAATGGTGCCACTAGAATGAAAAATATTTCTGACATTATTACCTAACTTGCCTTGTACTGTGTCTTCTCATTATGACCTGCTGATGGTCTTATGAGGGGACAATACAAAGTAGCAGAATACAGGTAGTCCTCGACTCACAACAGTTCATTTAGTGTCTGTTCAAAGCTACAATGGCACTGAAAAAAGTGATATGTCCATTTTTCACACTTATGACCATTACAGCATCCCCACGATCACGTGATCAAAATTCAGCCACTTGGCAATTGACTCATGTTTATGACGGCCACAGCATCCAAGGGTCATGTAATAAGCTTTTGCGACCTTCTGACAAGCAAAGTCAATGGGGAAGCCAGATTCACTTAACAACCTTGTTATTAACTTAGCAATTGCAGTGATTCACTTAAGAACTGTGGCAAGAAAAGTCGTAAAATGGGGCAAAACTCACTTAATAAATGCCTCACGTAGCAACAGAAGTTTTGAGCTCAATTATGGTCGTAAGTTGAGTACTACCTCTATAGGAGGGAATTGCAAAACAAAATTTGTTTTTCAAGGAATATCTTGGAGTTTCTCTTATTTTGTCCAGAATACTAAGTCTAGAATACTATAAACTGCTTTCAGAAAATCTCCAGACTATCCCTAGTGCGGCTCAGTTAGCATGGTCCAGAGAGGAAATGGACCATTCCATTTGCTTAATGTTCTGTTCCTAAAATGGTAAATTTTGCACATCTGTACTTTACAGTGTGCTAAATTCAGAGACAGTCTCAAGGACGAAGGCTCGAAAAAAACCTGCTTGAATTGTTTATGAGCAACTGCCATTCAGAGTAGGCGAGAGCATGTGGATTCATAGTTACTAAAAGGGTCACTGATCAAAGTTTCAGTCTCACACCGCAGTCTTCAAAAGTTCCAAGCACAGCTGTAACACATTAAATGTGCATAATATTTTAACATTTTACAGTAAACCCAATTAAAGACCATATGAGAATCTATGCTAGTAGAAAGTTTTGAACTTTTTGATAAATCTGGAGGATGTGGATTATCTTTTCAGACATGTTCAGCACTGGAAACAGCATTGCTTCTGCTTGTTGAACACGTCTAGTGGGACTAAAATGAGGGCAATTCAACTTTCCTGAATTTATCCCTCAGCAGCTTTGAGTACAAATGCTATCAATCATTTAGAATTGGCCTTAGGGATCAGGGAGAGAATTACATTGCAGTGGTTCTCCTCTTCCTCTGCGATCAGTTCCAGTCAACATTGGGGGGCGGGAGGAGAGGGTGAGTCAACGTCCCTTGCTTTCTGGTGTTCCTCAGGGTGCAGCACTTTCTTCTTGCCTATTTAACATTCACACGAGGCTCTCGGTCAAGCTGATCCCATAGCACGGTCTCAATATGCTGAAAATGCCCAGTTATGTCTCTTGGCCTGTAGCCAACCAAGTTCGGTCTCAGTGCTAGAGAAGCTCTTAGGATCTGGATGTTGAGGAACAGGCTTAAGCTTCAGTCTGTGCTGTTCCTTTAGGCAGCTTTAAAAATCTAGTAACCATTTCCCACTTCACTAGGACACGAGATGGGCATTTGTGAGATGGGCAGTTATATAAATTTGATAAACAAATAAATACTTCTGATTTAAAAAATATTACTGCTTTTTATTTAAAGGAACTCTTTTACATAAGACTTGATTTTGTTTTGTTTTGTTTTCCTATATTTTAATGGAGAGTTGGCTGTTTTGAGTGTATACACCATACTATTTTGAAACTTTTTTCTCTCCCAGAAAATAAAATAACTTTGTAGTACTATAATTGCATTAAGGAAAATCAAAGGGGCTGGTAGTTTGGATGAATGCTGATCCACAATTGTTGATTCCAGTTTTTTCTCTCTGGGCATATATAGAATGTTACTGGAAGGAGGTGGCAGGAATTTCTTTGCACAGAGTAGCAAAAGAATAATTGAGCTCCTTTCATTGCTCAGAAAGGAATTTTCTTACTTGTTTGAAAAATGCAATGGAAATTGGGATCTAGTTGGTGATGGGGATTCTGCTTGCCTAGAATCTAAGAATGTTCTTCCTGGAAAATGGATTCATGGATACCTGTACGTGAGGCTTTTTGAACCTTAAATAAGGAATCTGAAAGAAGTGGCACCAGTTGAAAATTTTACATTGACATAATTATGATATGGCGTAAACTTAGGCTGAAGCACAGAAGCTCATCCCCAAACTTGCTTTTTTACACACAGAATCATGGTGAGTCTGTTCCTATTCTTCATTCTAAAGATGAAGGATATGTATTGAGTTAGATTGTTGTCCATCAAACTTTGCACTGATTCCTTGGAACTCAAGTCAAAGGATTAAATGTGGGACTTACTGAATACAGATCATATTATTATACCACTGACTCATTAAGTCCAGTTTCTCTTCTGTTCCCATATAACCATTTTTCTTATTGATCCCAGCTGGGCATTGAATTAGGGCAGTGATGGCAAACCTTTTAGAGACCCAGTGGCCAAAAACTGGCCCCGCTCCCACTCCACCCCTGCCCCACCCCCGCTCTGCCTCCACCCTGCCTGCCCATAGGGCCACTCACCGCCTCCAGGGCCTGCCGCAGATCGCCCAGGCAGCCCAGCAGCGCCATGACGGCCACGCCCTCTGCCCGCACCCTGCAGCATCAACTGTGCGCGATGGGGCATGAGAGCAGAGTCTTGTCTACGCTGCCTGGCTGCCATGTCCTTGGCTGCGCTGCTCCGCGTGGGCCACGCTCAGGAGTGACTCTCCTCCAGGGGGGCTGCTGGTGAGGGGGTCACAGGGGGAGGCAAGGGTGGGGCAACGGTACATGTGCCCACAGAGAGGGCTCCGAGTGCCGCCTCTGGCACCCGTGCCATAGCTTCGCCACCATTGAATTAGGGCTTCCTTGTGCTGTCCACAATAATGCTTAGGCTTTTTCCTTGAGTGGTTTTACTTAATTATTCCTTCTGATGCATTATCTTGTGTTTGATGGAAGAGGAAAATTCAGTTTTGGGTCTCGGCCAATATTTCAATGCTGACCGTAAAAACCTGGACGTTTTCTGCATAGCTTAGCTATTTGTTCTCTTAGGAATAATAATATTGACCTGAGTTAATTAGGAAAGTACACTTTTCTCTTCCCCATCTTGAAATTGGAGTAATATCTAACTGTCATATAACTGTAATATCTAACTGTTTTCTTTCCAACTCTTTATAATGCCCAATCAAAAATGTTGATGACACAGTGAATGCTATTGTATATGTCGAGGTGGTACACATTAAAACCTTGATGTTCTAGACCAGTGGTTCTCAACCTGTGGGTCGGGACCCCATTTGGGGTCGAACGACCATTTCACGGGGGTCGCCAAACAATGCAGTCCGCCATTTTTTTTTCCCTTTTCCTTAGCTGTGCTACTCCCTTTTATTCTATTGGCTTTTGAAAGCCAATGGAATAGACTCTCTTGAATAGAGTCTAATTCTATTGGCTTTCAAAAGCCAATAGGAATTGTCCAGGCTGTCTCTGCCCTGCTGAGCCCGCCAAAAGCCCCATTCTGCAAATGGTGCTGCATCAGTTGAGTAGTCCTCGACTTACGACCGGTTGAGTAGTCCTCAACTTACGACCGGTTGGGGGTCGCGGCATTAAAAAGGTTGAGAACCACTGTTCTAGACCTAGATAGATGTATCTAAAGATTGTGAGCGGGGCACAGAACAGCATGTAGGTTTTCTAATCTGTGCAGTTGTATCATATAGCGAGCAAAGTTGTGTGAAATTGGCAATCTGTGGTTGAAAGATTAGAGAAAAGCGTGAAACTTCCCATCTCTCGGGAAATCTATTTTTCAACTATAATGTATTAACTTCCCTCAATTCCCTCAATGGAGCCCTGGGGCCAAATCAACCTAATATGAAGTTTCTGTCTAGCACGTAACTCTTGCCTGTGTTTGGCTTGACCATGTTCTTAAGATCTGAAGAATAATCTTGCCAGGCTCTGAACCCCTCACCTTCCCTCATTCAGTGTACTCATTTCCTATCAGAGGAAGAAATGGTTCGTTTGTATGGGGCCCCTCCCCCTCATGTTTCTGGAGTTGGTGTTGTTTTTCTTCACAGATCAGGAAACCACAGCTTCCTTAGAGAAACTGCTGCACAGAGAAGGAGAGTCTTACAACATGTGCCATGAGAGGGTTGGGGCAGGCTGATTTATGGGCAAGAGGCTTCCTGGGAAATTATGATTAGTCCTGATTCCAACAATGCAGCAGGATAATGAAACAACACCATGAATTTTGAGAATATGTGTAAGGGCACTATTGGGCATTTTGCTCAATACCAACTTGAAAAATCTTTAAACATTGTTTTACTGGGCACAAAACTATTGACCTTCCTTTAATGGTGTCTAACAAATTGTAATTGCTCTTTCTTTCTCAAAATCCCAGCTTAGAAGTGTATGCAGAAATGAGGTCCATTGCATAACTGTGTTAGTGTGTTTCTGAGAACAAATGTCTTCAAATAATACTTTAACTCTAAACCTCAAGCATTCTTTGGAGCTGTTTGTTTGTTAAATTTATTTGCCACCCAACTCATTCCAAAGCAGCTCTGGGGGGGGGGCTTATAGCATGAAACCATTTTATTACATTTGCTGTTAGATATATGCTAGTACAGTTATGCTGTGATCCTCATTTCTGGACTTCAATATTAAGTCTAATTACTGATGAAATGGAGGTAATACTGGAGGAAAATCTCTTTAGACAGGATGTTGTACTAACCTTTGTGGAGAGAAGGAGAGTGATAAAAAATAAAGTACAGAGTTATGGATAATTATAGAGATGATGTGATTAGTAATCACTTAGAAGAGGAATCTACTGTGTAAAGTATGCATGAAATACCTGATATATTCAAACGTGACTCTGTAATCATTTGGATTTGTAGGATATCTGTGGAGTAGCTACTGAGTAATAATAGTTAAGGTGTTGGTCAGGAAGATGCCAGTTCACGTCTACATTCAGCTATGGAGGAAAGAAGTGCTATGTTATTAGGGAAAGAAGTGCTATGTACACCACTGTGAGATCCCAAAGGAAAGAGGGTATAATTCCAACATATAAATTGATAAAATTGGACTTTCTCAAAATTATTAGAACATTAGAACAATTTTCTCATTGTCTATATATTTCAGTTCAATTCAGCTGATCTAGCAGGCATTCTGACCAGGAAAAAAATCTGGATGTCTTCACAGGAATTATTAGATAATGAATCAGTCCCTGAATTATATAAAATCTGTTTCTCAACACCATTAAGTTTTGTGTATCATTTATCAAACTAGATGGTGGACTAGACACCTACCTATGAGGATTAAGAACACACCTTCAGATAAAGCTGTTTATTTCTCTCTGCCCAGGGTCCCAGTAATGATCTTCCTTTTCTCACTTGATATGGGCAAATCGTTATGTCATCTCCTAATTAAAGCTGATGCAACAGAACCTTCATTGAAAAGCTATCTTGTTGCCCCTTGATAGAAGTCACTCCTAAATGTTTGCCTCCTTCGTATTGACATGCCCAAAGCAGGAACAAAGACCATGAGAGAACAATTCAACAAATGAACTGTATATTTATTTTTCTCTCCCTCTATGCTTTCTTGATAATGGTAAAGATTGGAATGAGGTTTATCTTTGGAATTAACAGACAGAGAGAAAAGAGAGAGAGCTTCAATGTCTTGGGTGTAAAAATGAAGCAAAGGGCAGAAAAATATTAATGAAAACATGATGGGTTAATTCTGGCAAGTAACTGAGGGAGGTAGGCTTCTCTTTTTTGCTTCTGCAGTAAAGAAACAAAAGGGTAACTTCAAAAGTCATGAATAGAGATAAGATCCTTCCTTTCCTCTCTAGCTGAGAATAGTCACCAGGAGGTTAAAACAAAATACCAAATCTTCTCTGGAAGCAATTATTTGAGCTGATTTTCTCTCAAGGAAAGCCTGCTTGGAATTTTGTTGGACAAAGGATATGTCATACAACTACAGAGAGATTATTTGATAGGAAATAGAAGATTTCTTTCTTGGAGACTGTTCAGTGTGAAAAGATGGCTTTTTCAGGGCAATTGTGGGTTTGGTTTTATTCTTGAACATAATTATTTAGATGTGATAAATGATGCTGCACAGCCTTCCCAAAAGGGCACATCCCCCCTCCCCCACAAGATGTATTCAAACTGCAACTTTCAAAATTCTCAGCCAGCAAGTCAATGTGTTGAAAAGTGGTTTTAAGTGCTGTCTCAATGTCTCATTATGAAAATACTCAGCCATATCACAGTGAAAGAGGATTCAAGTATTTTCATAATGAGACCATGTTTATTTTGTTTCCAGAGCGGGACTACCACAGCTTGTGTGATAAACAGCCAATTGGATGTCTGCTTTTCCGGCATTTTTGTAACACACGACCGGAACTCATGCGCTGTGTCAAGTTCCTGGATGCTGTGGTAAGCACAACTCAATATGAGCATTTGTTGGGGATGGGGACACTAATTACACATTTTTTCATCAGGGGTTCCACAGTGCATCCATTTCATACTATGCATGTAGCCCTGCTGCTATTTCCTTGTTCTGTTCTCTTCAGAGCAAAGTCTAGTGTTATCCCCAAAATGTACTGCAGTAGCGGATTCTCCTCAAGATATTTCATTCATTCATTCATTCACTCACTCATTCACTCATTCAATTTATTTGCCACTCATCGAAATCTGGACAGCTTACTGATACTGAGCACACAAAGAATATTCTCCCTGATTTGTCTCTTTGTACACAGAATAGCTGTTTTGGACCTTTTCAGATGTGTTTTTATTTCTAGCAGAGATCTGTAACAATGGTATCATTTGCTCTCATTGCAGGCTGAATATGAAGTGACCCCTGATGAGAAACGGAAAGAATGTGGGAAGCGCCTGATTGAAGTATACTTGAACCCTAAGGTGAGAGGCTTCTCAGGTTGTGGCCGCCAAGCAAAGGAGCCAAGGGGCTCATTGTGAGTTACTCTAATAATAAGCTGGGCTTTGGGAAGAGCAATTGCTTTAAAGAGAACTCTATTGGTCTTTTATCAGGGCTTTGTGGTGTGTGTGTGTGTGTGTGTGTGTGTGTGTGTGTGTGTGTGTGTGTGTAAAAGTCAGGATGGTCACAACTCAGCAGTCTTGAGATGATTGTGATGATGATGCAAATGCCCATTTCAACCCTTTCTTATTCAGTGCCTGGTTCTTGTAGAATAACAATCAATATCACCGAGTATCGACATCATTCATTGCCAAAGTTTCTATCCTACAACAACCTGTAAGGGTCTAGCAATGCAAGGAGAAACACCAAGAGACTACAGTAATTTCTTCCTGTTTATTCCTGCTGCTGCCCTGCCCCATTCCCTCCAGCCCCATGATAATTCTGCCAAAGACTGGTTCTTTGGGAGAGAAACCGTTGCTTCTTGCAGAACTGTGAATCCTCATTTGACACTGATGCTTTGTCCTCAGAGTGTGGACCACGTCCCTGAAGTACCCTTGGAGCTGTTAAATCTGTGTTCTGAGCAACTGGAAGAGGAATCAAGTAAAGAACTCTTTAAGGAATCTACCAAGTGAGCAAGGGGAGTGGGTGGAATTTGATGAATACTGTGTACCTTTCCTGGACACTAATTGGTCACTCAACAAGGTCTAAGCTTGCTCTTCATCAAATGCATGGAGAATTTGTTATTGATAAATTTTAGAACCCATTGTATAGTATTATTCATTTTTCTGTCATAGAAGAGCTACTAGGCAACGTAGAGCAGAACATCTTTGTGCACATCTTCTTAACAAGTAATATTTAGATTGTTAGCAGAGCTGTTAAAGCTTTGAGAACTGGTGGAAAAGAAGAGATCCTAACCTTATGTTTCAGATTCAGACATTTTCTTCTGGGTCATACTCCTTGTCCTGGAAAACACTATACCTTCCTTAGATAGCTGAGGGCGTGCTCCCCCAAATAAGCCAGTTTGCAAACTGATTAGCAACCATATTAGAGATCCCTTAGACACCATTTGTCCATTATATTGATTTCAAGAGAGGCAGGGCATATAGAAATAAGGAAGTTCTATATCTCAAACCTCTATATTATCTGGTAACAGGTACTGGCCCAAATTTGTCTAGCAACGATCTTCTAGTCCTCTACTGCATCTGTGGAAAAAAGTTTTATCAAATGGGTAATGAATCAATGGACTCCTGCTCTTTCTAACAGGCATTATAAATGAGAATCACTTTCCTAGTGCTATCTAAGTTGGGTATTACATTTTTGGCTTTCCTATAGGATAGTGTCTTTGGAATTGCCGTGACCAAATAAATTATGAGCCTTCCTAATTCTGTGAGAGTTTTCCAACTTGCGTCCAGTCAATTTTTTTGAAGCATCAGGCTCATTCATCATCTTTATTTTTCTGCATGGGGTGACTTCAATTTCCCTAAGAGGCTCTAGTTCCTTTTCTAGGCTCATCCACGACTATCTTAGTGCGGCACCTTTTGCTGATTATCTTGACAGCGTTTACTTCAACCGCTTCCTACAGTGGAAGTATCTGGAAAGGTAAATCTTATTTTATTGTGGACTCTGTGGTACTTGTGATCCAGCTTCTTTGGATCTATTGTTTATACAGTATATAGTTTAAAGAGCCTATTTCCTGCCCTTAACAATCTTACTGACTGCTAGGTGGGAGTGGGAATCTTGGTCACATAATGAAAACAAATCCAATCCTTATCAGGATTTTTTCCTCATTAGCCTGCTAGAGCTTGATTTCGTCTTTATTCCGGTTCACTGGTCTCACGTATAAAATTTTGCTTGCCTGTTGTATTGCTCAAAGGAGAATAGAACTAAGGCTTCACCTTTCTAATGGGCAATTTACCTGTTTTTCTCTTAGGCAGCATGTAACCAAGAACACTTTCCGCCAATATCGTGTGCTAGGGAAGGGAGGCTTTGGAGAGGTATGTAATTTGACCAACCACAGGAGGCAGCTCCCCTGCCTGCTTTTAGGAAGCCACTGTATGGAATAATTTTCTGCTTCTGAACAAGAACTTCACAAGAATGTGATCTTGGTTATTAGAGCTGATGATGATCACAAGTACCTTTCTGAATAGCATGACTGATATGCTAAGTATTTAAAGCCCTTTCTTGCTGCTTCCTACATTTGATGCCCCAAACTTTGCAGTCAGGGAAATACCAATGGCTGCAAAACATATAAGGATTCAGCAAGAATGAGATCTTAACCCATTTATTTAGGTTTGATTCTGAGCTCCAGGACTGTCATATTATTCTCAGCAGGAAGGCTATGAACTTGTGTTTTTTTTTTTCTTTTTTGCAGTAAAAGCTGAGACTTTTGTGAAGGAGTCAATAAACCATTTAATCGCTAAGATATCACAGCATTTTTGCTTGAAGATATCAAAGTAATGACTTCAGAATCCAATAAACCACTTAACTGATAACGCTGATAAAATTTCGTGAACTGCCAAAACCATCACCCTTCATTTCTTCCCTTCAAAGGTTTGTGCTTGCCAGGTGCGGGCCACCGGAAAGATGTACGCCTGCAAGAAGCTTGAGAAAAAACGGATAAAAAAGCGGAAGGGGGAAGCCATGGCCTTAAACGAGAAGCAGATACTGGAGAAAGTGAACAGTAGGTTTGTAGTAAGTACATAGGAACTGCTTTACTTCTGCCCGGTTTGAGAAAGGGTTGGTCATACAAATACTTGCTGTCCACTCACTCAGTCTCTGCTCCATGATGGACAGGGCTAAAGTAAGTGGGATTTCCTTAGTCAAGTGGCAAGAAGGGGATGTTGGATTTTCCCCCTCCTGTCCTATAAACCTATAATGCTAAATCTATAGCTGCTACAGGACTACCGGCATCTCTCATACATCTGTTTATATGGGATCTTGGAACTACCAGTAAATGCTTTGTGGAAGCTCTAAATGCTAATGGCCAATTTTACCTATAACTCTGCTCCTTCTTCCATATATCTAAGGCTTACATACTGTACATAGAGATGGATCACTCTACACCCTTTTGGGATTGAAACATTATGTAGATCACAGAAAAGGAGTTAGAAAAAGTAAGCCAAAGCAGTTAGGGCAGGAGGTGGGAAGAGGAAAACATATAGAGTTAAAACTACACCAGGCCAACATATTTAGTATACCTCTATATACCTGTTGGTCCTTGAAAACCATGTTCATGCATCGCTTCATATATTTTGTTTTTTAAGCTTCTCACCTCTCTTTTGTGCTAAGAATCTTATCAATTCCATCTAACTATGACTTCCTCAATCTTCTTCTTGGACCATTCACCCTTCCTTCCTTCCTTCCTTCCTTCCTTCCTTCCTTCCTTCCTTCCTTCCTTCCTTCCTTCCTTCCTTCCTTCCTTCCTTCCTTCCTTCCTTCCTGTTTTGCACTTACATTTAACAAAATGTTCCATGGCTTTAGTCCCAGTATCAATGTGCAGCACTTGAAACTTAGGCTAAATAGGAAGGGTTGTCTCATGAGTCCCGTCCTTCCCAGCTGATTGTAAATCAGGCCATATTTGATGGGAGAGAGTACACACACAATTGGCCTGGCCTGCAGTCTGCTGGACTTTCCACTGAGAAGCTTTTATTGAAACCAGCTCTGAAAAGATCCCAAAGGGGATGCACTGAGATAACTGAGCAACCTTATCTACCTGTACTTGTCCTTATTTCACTGAAGAGAAATCAACTGCACAGTGTCGTCTTGCAGCGACCTCTTTATATTTGGCCTTTTCACTACTCCTGCTGTTTCCTCCATTGTTTTTAGCTCCTCTGCACCACTTAACTTTACATTAAACATTATAGCATGCAGTTAGCTATTAACTACCATTAATGCCTGCTTGAGTAACATCTTGTTTCAAGAGCTTTTTCTGTCTCTGCATATCTGGGGTATTTGTAAAGATGAATAGTCAGCACAGTTCTGCATATTTGTATCTGGGTGCTGTGCTTTCTGGAGCTATGTTAGGTTTGTTTTAGTCCTGAAATGATCTGATTTTATTGTAGGTGAGTCTGGCCTATGCCTATGAAACAAAAGATGCACTCTGCTTGGTCCTGACTCTGATGAACGGTGGAGACCTGAAGTTCCACATCTACCACATGGGAGAAGCAGGATTTGAAGAGCCACGGGCTGTTTTCTATGCGGCCGAAATCTGCTGTGGCTTGGAAGACCTCCATCGAGAGAGGATAGTTTACAGGTGAGAATGCATTTTTATTCTGGGCATAGCTGGAATTCAGTTGGGGACTATCTCAGTAAGGATTGTGTAATACTTTGAGTGCTGTTGCTGTAAAATAACAGTTATTGTTCAGAAACTGGTCAGATGCATTTCCTCCTGAAGGAAGTGAAAATATGTACTGGTGAAATCTAAAGAAACTAAACCTGCCTGATCAATATTCCCTTTACCCAAGATATAGATAAATATGTTGTGTGAACATCTTGATGATGTTATTCTTACTGTGTTCCTCTTCAGGGACTTGAAGCCAGAGAATATTCTCCTGGATGACCATGGTGAGTAAATGTTTTTCACAGACCGATTGATCCCCTCCATGGGCAAGTTGATGCTACTCCCTTTTTATAGCAAGCGAGGGAAATCTGTAAACAAGGCATTCTTGTGTCTCCTTTTTCCCTAACAAGGTCATATCCGCATTTCTGACCTGGGACTAGCTGTTCATGTTCCGGAAGAACAGACAATAAAAGGTCGGGTTGGAACCGTTGGCTACATGGGTGAGTATCCAAGAAGGGCTCTGGGGTGTTGACTGGAAACTATGGAAATCGTGAAGCCCATCAGAGCAAGGACAGAATATTTTGTCACAACTTAACAGGGCAAAACAGGTGAATGTCATCCTGAAGGGCATCTGAGCTTAAGTTTGAATAACTGGTAGAAAGCGGTCACATATGCTAGATCTCCAGGGCTGAATAAGGAAATGCATTTGTCGCTCCATTTGCTTCTATTTTGACAATAACTTGCTTGATCCAAATATTTCTCCTTCAGGGTTACCTTTGGACTCCCAGTATTGTTTGTTTTGTGGGGCCAACAGAAATATTACAGTACCAGTGAAAGAAATAAATCCCTCACGTTTCTGCAGATCTGTAGGTAGGCCTGTTGAAAAAGCTGAGGCGGCTACTTGGGAAGGTGTTTTCAGATTACCCAGAAATAAATCTTCATTTCAAACATTGGACTGTGGAGGGTTTCTAAATGTTCAGCTGCAGGATTGTGTAGAAGTGTAGCAGCATTCCTTCCTGAAACATCAGTGCCCAAATCCAGATACACTGAATCAGAGTAACTCAAACAAGCAGAATTTCATTTGCTGTCAACTACTATTTGCACATTCTATGTCCCAAACCATCCAAGGATTGCAGACTAGAAATATAATTGTAGTTGGAATAAACAGTACAAATTGGCTTGCATTCATCTTCTGGATATTGATGGAAGAGAAGAAATCAGCAGTTTTGTGACAATGCTGTGCAAACAGTATAGAAAGGTTGGAGCCTGTAATTACAATAGGATACAGAAAGAGATGGCTCCTTCTTGCATTTGGTGTTACATCTCTGAATCCCAAGTAAGGGGAAATAGAAAATGCATCCTTTACTACTTCTGCTTCTTCCTTGCAAGTATCCATCTTGCACTATTACCGCCCACCCTACAGTAAATATGAAGCTGGGAAAATACAGTATTTTGGGTCAGAGTGCATTGGAGCCATTAAGAAGATTGTCTTACATTGAACTGGACTGCTGATATATTAAATTTGGTGTTCTGTATATTGACCAGCAATGGCTCTTCAAGATTTCGGGCTTTTATAGCCCTGTCTAGTACCAAAACTGGGGTGTTGGTAGGAGGTACTTGTTGGGAGTTGCCAAGAGTTGGTTATAAGATAAGGGCATAAATAAACAAACAAATGCATGTAAAAACACTACTACACCACTGAGTTTTGGAGCTTTCCTGTAGGAGGAGTGGCCATAGCCCAGGGACAACGTCAAAAGAGGAATCAGCCTAGAGTCTCTACGTTGTCAGAAACAGGCTAAATTCAACCCTTCTTGAATTCCATTAGCCCTTATCTAGCGCCAAAAAAATGCTATCTATTAGTTGAGTAGATTCCTGCGCATAGGCGTGAGCAATAAATCAGTTTAATTGAAAGTTAATGTGTGGCCCTGGTGTTTTGCATGTGACATTTCCCTAAGATCAGTAAAGACTGTGTAAAGATGTGGTTGAAATGGTTCTTTTTGCAGCTCCTGAAGTTGTGAAGAATGAACGGTACACATTCAGCCCAGACTGGTGGGCCTTAGGATGCCTGCTGTATGAGATGATTGAGGGTCAGTCTCCATTCCAGCAGCGCAGGAAGAAGATCAAGCGTGAAGAAGTGGAACGTCTGGTGAAGGAAGTCCAGGAAGAGTATTCTGAGAAGTTCTCACCTGCCTCCCGCTCACTGTGTTCCATGGTATGTGTGCTGCCTCTTTGACCATCAGGCAATTAGAATTTACAACAAAACCCCTTTCCTTTTCAAGGGTGGAAACTATAATATAATTAAAACCGAATTTGCTGTTTTGGCTTACTCCAGAATGGGTTCAGCCAAAACAAAAATCAAAGATTTTTTTTAATTGTATGTGTTAAATTGTTAAAAATAAAAAACAGGAACAAAAATACTTTTAATGTAGTTTGATAGCCAGTTAAGTGCAAGAATTTCAGTTCATTATCAATGATCAGTGTCTGTGTTTTTACCACTGACTAAACCATGGATTATTGTTTAGTAGATTCTAAACCATTAAAGATGGTTTATAGATCACAGAGGCAATGTACTACCTGCATAGGTTGAAGCAAAACAAACCATATTATATATTAAAGTTAAATGCAAACCTGTATTTAGATCAGTATGTAACACAATCTTCCTGCAATTGTGCTGCTGCACATCTCAACATATCTGTATACAAACTAATCCTACCTGACATCTACCTGTCAGAAAGCAATTAAATCATGCTTTAAATTTTTTGTATCCTTGTGTAAACTCGTATAGATGTTTATTCTGAAACTTTCCTTTGTTTAAGAATAAACTTGATTTCCCAGTTTACTAACTAGTAAATAAATAGCCATTGTTTCAAATATCCTTTCTGCACATTTTTGACTAACAAGAGAGGGGCATGGAAGAAGGACAATAGAAGGTGAAATCAAGCTCCCACTGTGGGCCTCAGTTTCCCTCACTCGCGTGCACACCTTTCTCAAATCAGAGGAAAATACGTATCAGAAATCTACAGGTCCCTCACCATGAGAGTTTAATACCACCTTGTGATATTAATTAAATTAATGAAACCTTTCTGAGCCAGATTCATTAGGTATCTTAATTTTGGTCTTAATTTTTGTCTCTTAAGTGTAATTGCAGTGTATGAGGAAGCCTGGAAAGGCTGTTAGCTATCAAATAGTGAGCCAAAATGTTAGGAAAAAAATGACTGCCTCATCCCATTCACTAAAACATGCGACAATGATAAAAACTACCAGTTCTCATATTTATGACACAGGTTTGTAAAGCAAAGAAAACTAGTAAGTTCATAAGCACAGGCCATTTTATTTACCAATTGCTTCGGTTAACAACTAAGTCGCCCATCCCATGGTGGCTGCTAAATAAGAACTACCTGTATAAACTTCTGTTATGATCCATAAAGAGGCCTAAAAGACTAGAAAAATAAAGCAGGCAAAAGATTCACTTTCATCAACTGAAGATGATACTCCAGCTATGCCGGCCTCAGACAGGCAGAGTTTGGTCACCATGATTCATGCATTAGGGGAGGAGGTCCCCCTGGGGGCTTTAACTAATGCAGAATGGAATGGTTGAGTTCCTCATTGGGGTGCTTTATCTGTACGTATCCCTGGTTGCCAATGAGCTAGATTCAAGGTGCTAAAACATACATTCTAAACTTTCCAAAATGGGCGTGCTCAACAAGGGCTCTTGATAAATCAAAGCCAAACATTCTTGCATTTTAGGTATATGTTGATTGGCCTTCTTTAATTCCCCCCATCTGGTTTTGTGTCTTGTTTTTTTTAAAGGTGTTTTTTTTCAGTTAAATTTTATTTTGTCTTATCACATATTTGTGATATTGTTGTAAATCATGGGTTTTTTTTAAAGGCTTATAAACATTTAATAAATTACTATGTTGGGGGCCATTTTTTATTTTATGGTAAATAACGGTAAGGATGTAAAAGATAAAAAGTAATTTTGCCAGCCTGACACTGATTTCTAATCAGCCAAAATATAACATGAATTTTGGGATTAGCAAAAAGCAGGACAAAAAACAGTCCGCAAAGAATACTTTAAGTTTTATGTCAGTATTTTTTGCCCCGTAAAGTAGTTTTTAACAGTTTAAATTTGGATTAATTTTTTTCCCCTTTTAATGGAAGCTGCATAACTGTATAGAGTCTTGTGTTTGAACTTCTTGTTCTGCATTTTAGCTCTTGTGCAAAGAGCCCTTGGAACGGTTGGGCTGTCGAGGGTCTGGTGCACAAGAAGTGAAAGATCATCCTCTGTTTAAAAATCTGAATTTCAAGCGGCTGGAAGCTGGGATGCTGGACCCACCATTTAAACCTGATGTGAGTTGAAAATGTATGTGTGGTGTAGTCAAGTTTTGTGCTCTTATAATATTGTTTGTTGTTTTAAATACCCTTTTTCCATCTATTCCTTCTAGCCCCAAGCTATTTATTGCAAAGATGTCCTGGATATTGAGCAGTTTTCCACAGTCAAAGGGGTAGAGTTAGAACCAACGGACCATGACTTCTATCATAAATTTGCAACGGGAAGTGTCTCTATTCCCTGGCAAAATGAGGTAGGTGTTCTTCTGGGAAATGGTGCTTCTGAAAGCAGAACTTTTTATTTAAAAAAATGGGTTATCTGCTTTTGCCGCAAAAACTGGCACTGGTAGCTGATTTCGGATGCTGCTCTGAGAAACAAGTGGGCAGTACTATAGTAAGTTCTGAAATTTTTATTATTATTTTGTAGATGATAGATACGGAATGTTTCAAGGAGTTGAATGTATTTGGTCCAGATGGCATCATACCTCCTGACCTGGACTGGAAAGGGCAGCAGCCTCCCCTGCCCAAAAAGGGCCTACTCCAGCGTCTCTTCAGCCGACAGGTAATTCATCTGGCAGGGTTGAGTGGTACTGCCTGATGAGATCTCCCTTGAGACACATTTGTTCGGAATGGCTCTTACCATTAGATGGTTGTTCATCTCAGCTTTCCCACCACCTCCTCTATTGGAGCATCTCTAGGGCATAGTTAATTTACTGATAGAGGAGAATATTTGTAGCTCAGGGTTGAAATGAGGGGTCCTTGGTGCTCTCTGAGCCTGGTTGTTTCCTTGCAGACATTTCATTACCCAAACTAGGAAACATCAGCTAAAATTTAGTTGATTGGCAAGATCCTTAAGGTTTGAGTCCTTAATATCCAAAGCAACTTATTTTCTGAATAAACCTCAGAAATCTGTTAAGTAAGCAACAGGTTTCAGTTTGTAAACCTGGAATGAAGTTAAGTATGACTTGCAGCAAAGTACAATTATTCTAGGCTTGTTTGATATGGGTTGGTAACTAACAGTCATGTTCCTTTTAATTGTCTGATTTTGAGGTATTTTTATCATGCCTTTCAGTTGAAAGCATTTTAAGGCAATGTACAACAACTAAAAGCCAATTAAATCACAAAAATATTGTCAGATTATTACACCAAAGGGATACCGCTATTTCTTAACCATAAAATGAAACTGCTAAGAGCACTTTAGCAAATAGGATTGAAAAGATATATCTCTTAATTTTTGTTCCTGAAATTGAGCTAGAATCAATTGCATCCCTTAAAACCATTTAATATTTTAGGGGGCAGCAAGAAGAAAACTCTTTGACATGTATCTAATAAACAATATTTGCAAATTAGGTCATCTCAGGCATCTTCTGTATATACAGATAACCAAACAAATTTATAAAGAAGCAGGGTGCCCTTTAAATAGTCATTTTATAAGTTTTTAAGGCTACTTTAAAGATGAACGGACAGAAAACATTGAGCAATTATGCAGATGTTTCAATATTGGTATAATAGAGTGCTAATATTAATATTAAGTAACAGACAAAAGCCTGCATGCCACCTTTTATATAAGTTTCTGGATGCTTTTCACATGTTGCGTTAAAGAGCATAAATAATCATGCCAAATTATACCGACCCAGTAAAGGTCACAGCTGGAACATTAAATGTAATTGTGCAAACACGTCTTGCCAAAGTTATGAGTTTGCTCTTTCGGAGGGTTGCAACCTCTTTCAAAACAAGAACTCTCTGAACCAGACTTCCTCTTCAGCAGCAGAACTGGACTTTACAAACTTGCTCCTTCTTATCGAGCCCAAGCAGGATTGAAGGATATGAGCTGTTTCCTTCATACTGGTTGCCCGAGGGTGATAGAGCTAAATTCCATCAGCAGGTGGGTGATATCTCATCCCAGAATTCCATGCAATTTCTTCCCCATAGTTTCATGTAGACGTTGAATAAGGTGGGCCACATCACAATCCTGTACAAGATCACGGGAGAAAAGCTTTTATTTATTGCCTCCTGCAACCTTTCATAATCTTCTTCATTTCCCATGATATTAATCCTTTCTGCTTATTTGATTAGCAAGGAGCGGCGATGGTTAGACAAACATGTAGTAGGCTTCACTGCTGTAGATTCTCTGCTCACCTCCTTAAGCTCAAAGGATTCCAAGAAAGCAGAGAAGTAGTTGCCAGTTAATATAGTAAGTTATATTAATTTAACCCATTATTAATTCAGTTTAGTAATGGAGTCTCAGTCAGGGTGAACATTTTTTCATCTAACAAGAATGATCTAATTCTGCCGTGAAGGGAAGGTCAAATTTAGGAATGATAGGAATAAGCTATTTTCTCATTTCTATTTTCTTTCCATACAAGCAGGCTTTGATACTCTCTAAATGAGACAGAACATTTCCTAAACACCTTCAAGTGGCCATTTTGATCCATTTGCTGTTTAGGGTAAAGTCCATATTAATAACACATCCAGCATAAGCCATTATGCTGTCAGACCATCAAACAAACATAGATCAAAGGGCTTTTAACAGCACCTTTTTAAGCTAACCAATTTTATTAAAAGACATGCACTTTTGTGAGCTATAGCTTACTTCGTATAACTCTTCTTCCTTTAGAGTATCAATTCCATCCATCAGATTACTAAATCAAGAGGTGCTCTGTTGTATCACATATTCAGTGGCACTAGTTGCTGATTGACATGAAACTCTGGGTTACTCCTAACTGGACTTGGACATTTTACGGTCCTCAGGCCACATCCGGTCCTTTGGCTCTCTGTGTCCAGAAAGTAGAAATCAAATGTAAATATGTGTATGCCATGCACACAATACAACTGCATTTTTTTATTTTGAAGGCGGTTGCTATTTTTCTCCCGTTTACATATGTGTGTGCATGCACGTCTTATGCATCTTCACAGTCCTATTGGTTTGGCCCTGCACAACAGTCCCAGTTTCTCATGTGACCCCTTGGGAAAATTAATTGCCCACCCCTCCTCCTAACTGAGCAAACTTGATGGGTTTGTTAAATTACCAAGACAAAGTAATCTGAGTTGGTCCAGCATCAACACCCAAAGGTGTTCCATGTTGCTTTAGAATTTGAAACAATTGGGCAGCAAGTCATAAGGGGGATCACTGTCACCTCATGTATCAAAATTAGCAGACTGTTGAATGGTTCATCTGACTAGACATTTAGCATTCCCACACATTCCTGTTTTTCCTCCCAGTTCTACTTGGTAGACAGAGGAAGGTCAAATACTTATCCATTTTCTATTGGTCAGATCTCTGGGATGTATATTAGATCTGTTTTCTTCATCGAAAATCAAATCTTGGGTGAGTGATGACTTCCCAGTAACTGATCAGGAGCCTAAATGCAGTAAGGCTATCATAGCTGAATTAAAAAAATCTGGACCACAACTAGTTGGCTGCTAATAGCAATTCTTAATGGAGGTTTTCTGGTCATCCAGAGTTTTGCATCTCAAATACAGTAATTCTGTGTTAAGGTCACGTGTACCACTTTGTAGTTATCTCAGTTTCCTTCCTGAAGTAGCGGTCTGTATGGAGGAATGAGTTTTAAAGCCTACCATCTGTTCTGTGCTATGATGGTAATCACTTGTGAAGTCATTTCCACGAAGGTCCATTTAATGCAGGGGTTCTCAACCTTGGCAACTTTAAGACTTGTGGACTTCAACTCCCAGAATTCCTCAGCCAGCTTTGCTTTGCTGGCTGAGGAATTCTGGGAGTTGAAGTCCACAAGTCTTAAAGTTGCCAAGGTTGAGAACCCCTGATTTAATGTAAGCTTTCCATTTGCTCCTGAATGTGTGGGTATGTCCACAACCAAATGCTTTTAAAGCTCTTCCTGAGACAGTAGCGTAGAAGTAAGGAAGTCCCTCTTTGCAAGGAACAAACCTCCTGGCCCAGCCAGCAGCATCATGTTTTATAGCCCTATCTTCAAAGGATGATGAGTCTGAGGCTGCTGAAGTGCCTCTTAAGAAATGAGACACAACGCTGTGCCTTCTCAAAGGCCTATTGTCCATACTGGGCCAGAATTTCTGCGTCCCGTTGGGAAAACTCCAAGCTGACAGAAGCAGGAGAGCTCGGGACACTTGAAAGTCCCATTGTCCCATTGTTTTCTCCCAAGGTTGTTCCTTCTCTCCCGCCTGGCTTCACGATTTAAAAATAGAGCATTTTCCACAGCACCCACAGCTACCATGTAGTTTAAGAACAATGCCGTGTCCTTTCTTTTAATTATTTATTTTACTTTGCATGTAGTAAACAAGGGCACTTTTGAATTGGCCTCGACGTTTCTGTGGGAAGTTGCTGCTTTGCAGTAAAACTCAGTAGCCTGCTCCAGTGGCTCTGTTTGATTGGCGGAGCAGGGATCCCTGGTTGGGCCTCTCACAGCAAGTTTGCTTTTTTTTTTCCAGAGGTGAGGAACCTCTTCTCTCCCAGCTGTTCCAGACTCCACTGCAGGCATGACAAGACAAGGGAAAGGAATGTGGACTCTAACCCTTTCCGTTCCTTCCTACCCCCCCTCCCCCCCCCCCCGCCCTTCCGGAAATGCTGCTTCTCTGCATCAATAATCCCTCAAGTCACTAATTCTACTTCCTGCAAAACACCAAGAATGCTTTATCTTGATTGTTTGGTATGGATTTGGAGGGGGAACTCAATTTATTATGGCTCCCATATCTATGTAGTCCCATTACTAGGAAATGAAAGGGTTTTTTTCTTCTTTCAACTCGTACCAAAGGTCCTGAGGGCTTTCTAAGATCTTGCTAACATTTTGGATCCTTGCAACTTTCCGCACTTAGGTTCCTGGGTTAATTGCCTTAGTCCGAGGGAATAAGTGGTTCATGGTTCTGTGTGGCACATCTTCCAGCTGCAATTTTACTGAGCTGAGTTACATTCCGATCTTTGGGCTGGGCTCACTAATACAAAGTGATATTTGTTTTGTTCATGGCCGCTAATGGCATTTACGTTTTCCCTAATCCATAAGTAAAGCGTTACCGGTCCATGGGAAATGCACAGAGTGGCCGGAAAGAAATGTAATGGAAGGTCCAATGAGTTTTGGCTTCCGGAGAGTGTTACTTGTATTCTAAAAGCAATACTTTTGGCAGCCTTGCTTTAAATGGGGCTGGGCCAAAAAGCATATTTCTGAGTAATGGCGTTTCTCTGTGGGGAGTGGGAATAAAATCCTGTGGCCACCTGCTTGTTGAATAACTGGACTCACTCTATGCTTGCTGTGTGCTCTCTGTTTCCCCTTTCCCTCCCTCCCTCCATTCTCCAGGACTGTTGCGGGAATTGCAGTGAAAGTGAAGAGGAACCAACTCGCTTATGAGCTGATCCAGAAAAGAAGGCACTCGCTCACAGTCAAACACATGCCCACCACCAGCGTGTGTGTGTGTGTGTGTGCAACTTGTTGTTTCAGGATGGCAGCAGATTCCCACCCCAGAGGGGAAGTGTTCGTAGACCAGGCAGAAGAGGAACCTCTTCTGCAGAAACCTTCAGTGTACTGCAAGAGAGCCGTCTTGCTTGCTACTCCTCTTCCATGATGAGAGAGCGATGATGGCAGGAGTGAATACGGAATATCCCAGGGCTGGCCCTGACCCCAATTTTTGACTTGCTCATCTCCTGGTGTTTTTTTTTTTAATATATTTATATTACTGTAAATGTGAATGTATGTATAAAGCATATGTACATTCTTAATGGTTGGGCAAAGGGTCCTTCTGGTGTTTCTCTCTGCACTTCCCTCTCTAGCCCATCATCACCGCTTCATCATAGTGAAGAGCCTGCACCGGCCTTCCGCTGGATACGATGATGGAAGATGCTAAGTGTGGCAGGGAAAACGAGAGAGCTGCCATTGCTGGTGTATCTGATCTGCAAGGACAACTGGAGGGTTCTGTCTCTGCACATCTCTTCTTCTCTCTTAGCCAACCCTCCACTATTGTAAGCTGTTGAGTTGGTGTGTAATCCCAAGGCACTGTAGAAATGATGGCAAATTTTACGTTTCCCTTTGAATTTGCAGATACGTCTATCGTTTAGGCAGCAACCATCAATTTTTCTTGGATGACAATCTCTGATTTTTACCTTGGGAACTTGGCTTAATGAGAATAACAAATTTTAGAATATCCAGTATAGTTCCAATACTAGTGGCATTACACTGGTTTCTAGCTTTATTTCTGTTGTGAAACTCCAATAGGGATTGATATAACCAAACAGAGTACGACCTCTTCCCAGCCTTCATGGAAAACTAAGCCCACTTTTTTTCTTCTTCTTCTTTCTCCTTCCCTTTCTTGTAGCACATTGTCCTCTTTCCTTTCCAGAAAAGAAATGATCCCATTACTTTTAGTCCTGGTTGATTTGCAAATTGCCAACTGTACTCATGATAGCAAATGCATATTCCCTAGCCTAGAAGCTTGAGCAAAGAGCCAAGCTATCTTGAAGTGGGTGGTTTCAGATCAGATCTTTTGAAATCTTCATCTGCTTTGCAAAGCAGTTAGAAGTCTTTAATTTTTGGAGCAACATTGCTGAAGTTAATCATGTTCACTTGCACAACTTCCTCATTCAAACTAGCAGTTCCCAGACTGCTGTTAGGCTTGCAATTGATTAAGGGACAAATGCAGCTTTGGAGGACCAATTAATTTGCCCTTTGGCCAAGAGCACAGTAAAAACAAAACATGTTGGGAGATCCAAAGACAGGTGCCCTGGAGTTCATGTAACCTGACCCAAAGTCCTGACCTGCTTTCCATATGGAATCTCGTATGTGGTCTTCCATGACTTGGAGCCCTGGGCCCACCCAGAGCTGCACTTGTGCCTTCACGATGCTCTCCTGAGCAGGCCTCTCTCAGTCCTGCTTAATGCTGGGATTAAAGTTTCTAGTCTTCTCTTGACCCCTGTCCAGAGTGCAAATCTTTCGTCTCCCCACAGTTATTTCCAGCCTCGTGCTGTACTTGTGCAGCTGCTGTCTTGTTTTGGGACAGGTAATTCCATTTCATCGTTCACTTGTGGTACCTCACAGTAGTATTGTGTTCTACTGGCAATACGGAAACTATTCTTACTGTGTTAATTGTTAAGTACTGACTCGTCATTGCTGTGGTACAGAAGAAGATGGCGTGAATACATCAATAGGTGCTGAAAAATCTCCGGTCAATGCACTCTAAGAATGTGAACATCAACCACCCTGCCTTTCAGTTATAAAGAGCAGCCACCCTGCACAAACTTTCTGTGTGTCTGAATGCTTTGGTGACTGCCTTTTACCCTTGGCCACCCTCTCCACTTGTTAATGCCTCTAAGAGACTGCTCTTCACAGTCTAGTATATGGGTAGGCAACCTTGGCTCTTTTATGACTCATGGACTTCAACTCCCAGCTATGCTGACTCAGGAATTCTGGGAGTTGAAGTCCACGAATCATAAAAGAGCCAAGGTTGCCTACCCCTGGCTAGTATATCTGCTGTCTTAGTTTTTTTTCCCCCTTGGAATTTCTAGCAGAACATCGTATGCCACTTCAGACCTCTTCAACACGCATGTCTATGCATTTTGTCTTTCTTTTACTATTTCCTTTCACTTGATCCTTCTTTCAAAATTCATTCTGGTCATCTGAAATTATTTTTTTAAGAAAATGGTTGAGAATATTCTATATGGATTTAAATGACTAAGCCTCAAGCAATATTTTAAGTCAGAGAGTAAGGTTAAAAATAGAAAAGTATGCTGCAACCACGCTTGCACAGACATTACAGGAACAAGGTTGCAGATCTATTACAGGGAATCCCAATATTTAAATTTCTGTGTATTGCACAATTAGTAATGTTGTTTATAATTTTATCATTTCAATTGTGGTCGTTTTTGAATTTTTTTAAAATGTGATTTCTTAAATGTACATATTGTAAAAACATTAATGAAAGAAAGAGTTTCTCAAGTGTGAGATTACTTTGATTTAATAAAACTACTCTATGTTGCTAAGAAGGAAATTTCATCTTTCTATTTAATTAAATCTGGGAGTATGAATTACTTTCTATTACTGTTTTGTTTTAAATAATGTTCCATCAGGACTAGATGTGATTCCGATGTACAAGATTTATTTGACCACAGGTCTAAGAGTAAAAAGCAAAGGCAGAGCAGCCTAGCTCTAATATCAGTTTTGTATTCTAGTTTCCAATACAAGCTGGGGAAAAAATTAATCAAATCTGGAATTGGGGAATAACCTGAGGTATGAGGGTTCTTCCTGAGAACAAGGACTTGGCTGCTTCCAAAGTATTCACTAACCAGGATTGTCTGCTCCAAGTGGCAATGGTTCCTCGGGGTCTGTCAGCTTTTACTAACATTTCTTCTTTAAGAACAGCTTCAAAATACTGAATCTGGCATCCAGAGGTGTCCACAAGGTATGGTCAAAAATGTCAAGGTGGCATCCACAATAGTTAATGAAAGCATTGCATGTTTGTTAGTCAAGGTTTTTTATTTTTTTAACCACACCCCTGTGGACATTCCTGCTAGAGCAGTGGTTCTCAATCTTTTTAATGCCGCGACCCCCAACCGGTTGTAAGTCGAGGACTACTCAACCGGTCGTTAAGTCAAGGACTACTCAACTGGTGTAGCACCGTTTGCAGACTCAGGCTTTTGGCGGGCTCAGCAGGGCAGAGACAGCCTGGACAATTCCTATTGGCTTTTGAAAGCCAATAGAATTAGACTCTATTCAAGAGAGTCTATTCTGTTGGCTTTCAAAAGCCAATAGAATAAAAGGGAGTAGCACAGCTAAGGAAAAGGGGGGGGGGAATGGCGGACTGCATTGTTTGGCGACCCCCGTGAAATGGTCATTCGACCCCAAATGGGGTCCCGACCCACAGGTTGAGAACCACTGTGCTAGAGTATCTTGTATGTATCTTGTACCAACAGCCTAGTATAGAGCAGTGATGGCGAACCTTTTAGAGACCGAGTGCCCCAAAACCACCCCGCCCACCCCTGCTCCGTCCCCCACCCCACTCACTCCACCTCTGACCCATCTGCCCCGCCCCCACCCCACTCTCAGGGCCACCCACCGCCTCCACGGCCCACTGCAGATCACCCAGGCAGCCTGCGCACCATGGCTGCCACACCGTCCGCCTGCGCCCTGCAGCATCTCAGCATGATGGGGAACGAGGGTGGAGTCTTGTCCCTGTTGCCTGGCAGCCATGTCCTTGGCTGTGCTGCTCTGCACAGGCGCGCCCGGGGGTGACTCTCCTTTGGAGGGGGCTGCTGTGAGGAGGGGGCCACAGGGGGAGGCGGGGCTGGGGCTATGGCACACATGCCCACAGAGAGAGCTCTGAGTGCCACCTCTGGCACGTATGCCATAGGTTCGCCATCACTGGTATAGAGCCTCTAATCTGATAGCCCCTCCAATTAGACTTTCAACTAGGTATTTGGTTTTTATTTGATTTAATTTAAGATTAGAACTATAATTAACGTGCTAGAGATCTGTCTTTTCCTTGTATCTGTTTTCAGGCTCATGCCCTGCCAAGCTATAGTAGAAGCCAGATGCTCTAAAATTAGGAACAGTTTTACATTTTGTGCTCATTTCTTTTTTTTCTGCATGATTGCTAAAACTCTGGTTTCATTTGAATAGTCTCTCTCTCTCTCTCTCTCTCTCTCTCTCTCTCTCTCTCTCTCTCTCTCTCTCCTTTTTGAGGGTTTACATTCTTTTTCTCCTTTCTTTTTAACCTAATTTGTAGCTGTCCGTTTGTTTGCTTTCCCTGATGCTGCTTAAAATTGTATCTTTAGATTCTCCTTTGTAATAACAACCTGCTTTATCCTGGGTATCAGCACTTTTATGGAATCTTTACTCTTTTTCTGACAATTGCCGTCTAATCCAGAGATCCCCAACCTTTTGGGCACCAGGGACCAGTTCCGTGGAGAGAGGTTTTTCCATGGACCAGAGAGTGTGTGGTTTTGTGTGCTGCCTGCATCTTGCAGATGGGGCTTTGCTTTTTGTGTGGCCTGGTTGCTGGCATGCCGTGGCCCAGTACTGGTCCACAGACCGGGGTTGGGGACCCCTGGTCTAATCCCTGTGTTTTTGTGTCTACATAGCAGCAATGAACAGGTGCATAAAGAAAATTATAAAACCGTGAAGATATGCACTATATAAAACATACATCTGCAGAAAGAAATTAGAACATGCTATTGTCTATTTCCTTCAAGAGTGATTGTTTCTGGAACTGTTTTGTTCTATCTTGTCCACTCCATCTTCCCTTGAGCAAAATTCCATGAATATAAAAGGACCTCCTCAAAGATCCTATTGTGGATGCATTCATAAGATGAACGGTTGCAAGCATGATTTATGAAAATACTTGGAAAGTATTTGTTGGAATGGCATCTCTCTCTCCTAAATTGTTTGGAGATTTAAGTACATTACGAATCATGCATGCTCTTCAGATCAACTTCAGAGTTTGTCTATGGAGATCCTCAATTATACAAGTCATGGTTGTCCCAGAACTGAAGAAGTTTCTTGGATGAGAAGTGAAATATTTTCAAGGAAAATACCAAGAAAGTCCAGTTGCCTTTTGAAAAGCGCCTTTGGGACAACTTCATAGTTTCTAATTCAGCTTTGTATCTTTGAATGTCATACCTTCATCTTAGCTATGAAATAAGATTCACTGAAGACAGAAGAAATTGGTTATTCATTTTGCTGGAATTATCCATGTCCTATATCAGTGATGGCGAACCTTTTAGAGACCGAGTGCCCAAACTGCAACCCAAAACCCACTTATGCATCATCGGGTGCTGGGTGGGTGTGGCCCATTGGGTGGGTGTGGCTGTGGTGGTAACAGCAGACTGGGTGGGACTAAAAAGTTCAATCAATCAATTCCAACTTCGCAAGATCTTTTTTTTTCCCACGAGAAGTTGAAATTGATTGATTGAATTTTTTTTTGTACATGGTGGTGGAGGCCTAAAGCGAAAAGGTTTTATAAAACCCAGCTGAAGGCCTAGGACTGGGGCGACGGCGCGCATGCCCACAGAGAGGGCTCTGAGTGCCGCCTCTGGCACCCATGCCATAGGTTTGCCACCACTGTCCTATATATCAGGTATTGCCTTAGTTTTACAATTGTTTATAAAACAATCTTGGATTTCTGTTGGAAAAACAGCAGTCTTGGAAAGACTTCAGATTCTTCAGATGTTCTTTTTTAATACAAACCAAAGTTCCATCAACAGAATACATCTGGACAACCTATTCTTGGAATTAGACTTACCTAATCACACAGTCCTTTAAATCAAGTCCATTCCTAGTTAGAGCAAGTGTTTTCCATTTCACCAATCCTATTTGCTGAAGACAAAAAAATGTTATTTTTTTTAGCTGTTAAACAATCATCAAGTGAAGAACACTTATTGAGCCACAGCAAATCATAAACTCCAGACTCTTTTCTGCCCACTTCAGCTGTAATACTTTTGTGTTTTTCATAAAACCAAAGCCATAATCTGACCTTGGCCAATGGACTCTTCTGCATTTTCCCTAATAACATAACAAATGACATTACGTAACTGAGATTTTCTGATCTCTTTTAAAAACGTTAACTAGAAAGGATCTTATTAGTGTTTGGATGGAGAGTATCAGGAAATCCAAAGGCTGTATTTCTGACTAGTAACTCAAGAAGGCAATGACAAACCATCTTTGTATTATTGTCAGGTCCCCAAATCCTTATTATCTCCTTATCTCCCATATATATTCTTATGCTTTGCTTTGGGGCCTGCCATTTAGTTGGGGGGGAGAGGGAATATTTACTTTCGCTTGGGATAATTTTCGCTTTCTGCCTTTCTCCTTCCACCTCTATCCATTTGACAAAGGAATGTGTCTCCCTTATCAGGGAGATGGTTACAGAGAAAGGAAACTGGAGAAGACCTTGAGATGCGCACCAGCTGTGCCAGTTATCCAAACATCGCTGCCCCCTGTGGATTGGCAGGATTTCAAATGGACATTACGGCTCTGGTGGGAGGAGGAATATTGCTGGTTTAATTATACCGTTTAAGCGGGATTGTCCCCAGATCATGCCTTGACTTCCCTACTGTCACTAACCCCTAATAAAAGTTTCCCTTTGGGACAATGCCTGTTTCAAGAGTTCTGCTTTCTTGGGTGGTTAGCTGAGGTGGGTCCTTACAATTATCGTCAAGAAAACTATTGGCCCCTTTTCTTGAAGCAAAGAGTCGAATTCAACTCCAAACAGCTTTTTCCTTGATGACTGAACTAATTCTATTCTTATTGTACAGAATTAAATTCTATTTCTTACACAGATGAATTATTAAGGGAATAGAATAGTTTTGTTGGCAGAAAGTGGGTATCTTGAAAGTATTGTCAGTATACTACATGTACTTCTGAACCAGTGAAAGAGAGGCAATATTTTCTTTATTCATGCAAGCCCAGCTCTATTTTAATCACTTTATGTCACTTTTGTTCCAAATGACTTGCAACTTGCAAGGTATTCTCTAGCTTCACTTGCATAGTATTATTGCATGAGCTTGCTGGGGTAAACTCAGCTTTGGTTGTACTGTGGCATACTAGCCAAAATATTTCAGAACAGATCAAAACGATCCTTCCTGTTGGCAGGAAATGCTGCACGGAGCAGGGATGTGATAAGGCTGTTAATCTAATTTACATCTTTTCTACATTGATAAAAAGTGTTACATAAAAGTCTCAGTTGACTATAGGTAATGGTGTTCAATACCCCTGGTGATGACCAGGCATATAGAAGATTGTGAGTTATAAGAGGAACAAAAGGCAAAGGCCATAAGAATGAATAAAAAAATGTGTTATGGTTCTGAGAAAAAAATATGATGAAGGAAATAACAAATCTAAATGAAAATGTAGCCTGGTCATGTAGTACAGTGTTTTGAATGAGAGGGCTAAAATATGTGTGAGAAAGTATAAAGTAGAAAAGGATAGGCTGTGATAACTGCAGGCTACACTCCAGTGAAGGGGGATAATGAGCGACTCAGAGATGAATGTAGGGAAAATTATGGACATTCTGAATTAATACACTTCAGGGGGAAATCATTCTGTTGTGACATGAGAGTGGACAGATGAGAAAAAGATGAAAAAATAGAGAAAGCATAACGGTGCCATTCTGAGATCCAAGACTGAGTAAGAATGGTGGTTAACGAATATCTGCTTAGAAAAAAAAAAAGGTCTGTTTCAAATATGTGATTTAAACATAAGTCTAGCAAAGGAATCCTTATAAATTGTAAAGCATTTGAAGCTCAATGATTGACCAAGCAGATTTAGCAGAGGAATTCAACTAGAGCAGGGGTTCTCAACCTTGGCAACTTTAAGACTTGTGGACTTCAACTCCCAGAATTCCTCAGCTGAGGAATTCTGGGAGTTGAAGTCCACAAGTCTTAAAGTTGCCAAGGTTGAGAACCCCTGAACTAGACAGAGAAAAGATACAGAGGGAAGAGCTAAGGAGAGAAAGAGACTACTGGCTGACTGATGGCTGCTGCTTCCTGAGTGCTGCTGATTGCCCATTGTGTGTAATTAGAGCCTTGCTTCCTATTGATCTAGTTGAGCCATTTTCAGGGACATACTCCATGAAGAAGATGGCTGCCCAGAGATCAATCTCACTAAATAAACAAACAAAAGGGAAAAAAAATAGGAATATGACAGGGGAATACTTTATTATTGTTCTTGGTTGTTCATCAGATGATCAGCAAGATGGATAGGACAGCTCTCGTGATTTACAGGGATTTGCTGTATCTGTTTTCTTCCCTGAACACAACACAAGAACTGTATCTGCAGATAGAGAGCTTTCTTGGAAGAGAAAGTGAAGAGGCTAGACACCAAATAACCTAACTTTCAGGATTTGGGAGAGGTGAGGAATTTTTGAATCAGATGCAAGAGGTGCTTGGGGAGGGGAAAAAAAGCAATTTCTGAGAAGATAAAGCCAGACAGATGAGATGGAGCAGTGAGACACAAAAGGCTCACATCTGTCAAGCAAACTTCCTATACTTGGGACTTTGATAACAGACTTCTGAGCCCCACTATTAATGTTTCAGAAACAACAGCTGCCCATGTCCAGGAACTGAAGAAGAGGAGTCTGCGGGTCATCCAAAGGGAAGGATGCCTGCTTCTGTCTCAAAGGAGAAGCAACAAGCAACAGTAGTTGGAGATTCTGTACTTTCGTGCTAGCAGTTCTAAAATATAGTTTATAGTCCAGGGGTAGTCAACCTTGGCTCTTTTATGACTCGTGGACTTGAATGTTCTTGATTGGTTGATTCAAAACCACAGACATCTTTTCCTGTTAGTCCTTTGTGGGAGCTAGCAGAAATGTATAGCCGTTTCAAAAGGATTGATGTATACCTTCAATTCCTCTCTGTCTTGACCCCAAAATATATAGGAAGTCTGCACCAGAAATGTGGGGTGGAGAGATATAGAGATGTAATTACTAGTTTTGATAGCAGGAGCTCCATAGGTTTTTCTGCTGTCAGTTCCCTGATCCCTGGCAGTGTTTGCTCTGTAGGAATATCTGCTGCTCCTTCCTCTCCCAGAACAAAAGGGATGGGGGAAGGAAGAGACCCATTCCTCCCTTTGCTCCCCACTTATTTTATTGCCATGGGAAGAAGCAGAGAAGCAGGCCTTCCGCTATCAGTTCTCCAGAGTAATCACTGTGAGACTGAGAAATGGAAGCTAAGGAGCCATTCTCCTCAAACTTCTCCCACCCTCTTTATCTTGATACCCCTGGATGGCAGGCAAAGCTGAGAGAGAAAAGAAGCAGAAGTTGGAGGTCTGTATCAAAAAGAGCCACTTCCTGCCACAGAACAACAGCTGAAGAGTTGCTTACCTCTGCCTGCTTCTGTTCCCACAGGGAGAGGAAAGGGGGATGGAAGCCACTCTGCAGCTGGCAGTCTCACAGGAAAGCTGCGGTACACGTTGCAATTTCTGCTGACGGCCTGCATCAGCGACACTGCAACGGCTTCATTGCAAGGGTGCCAATGGCAGCTGTCCAGTTGGCAATGCTGAAGTGAAGCTGCCCGTTCCTTGGGATTTAGATGCTGCAGGGCCAAAGCTGCAGGGGGACATTGTACAGGTAGCACCGGTAGTCCTCAACTTAACAACAGTTCACTTAGTGACCGTTCAAAGTTACAACGGCAATGGAAAAAGTGATTTATGACCATTTTTCACACTTACAACTGTTATAGGTCAGGTGTTTTACATTCAGATGCTTGACAACTGACTCACATTTATGACTGTTGCAGTCTCCTGGGATCGTGTGATCCCTTTTGCAACCTTCTGGCAAGCAAAGTCAATGGAGAAGCCAGATTCACTTAACGACCGTGTCACTAATTTAACCACTGCAGCGATTCACTGAACAAATGTGGCAAGAAAAGTCGTAAAATGGGGCAAAACTCAGCAACATAAATTTTGGGCTCAATTCTGGTCGTACACTGAGGACTACCTGTATATATTTATCTAGGATGCTGCTGAGGCTTCAGTGTTTGGAAGAACTGGCATCCAAGAGACCCATCTCCTTCCATCTCCCCATGCTCCTCCTGTCACTAAGGGTTGCCAAGAGAAGTGGAAGCAATGGCTTTTCAGCTTGGGGAATAGCCCCGGCTCTCTTGTTGCCAAAAAGTGAATGAAAATCAGTGGCCAGAAACTGAAGTGGAAATCCACCCACAATAACCTTGGATGGCTAAAAGGAGCAAGACAGATTTGCTTTGGAACAGTTCATCCCAGACAGAGTGTCTGGCATGACATGATTGTGCTGGAAGGAGCTGAAAGAACTGAAAGAACATTACTTGGAGCAGAGCAAGGGAAGACGAGGACAGGCTACTTTCTGGTGGTCTGAGGTGGGTTAAAAATGACATTGCAGAATTATGCCCTTGAGAAACAGTTAATGGAGCATTTTCACCCTGGTGTGAACACCAAATTTGAAGGAACCTTTAGAGGTACAGCACAGAATAGAATTCTTTATTGGCCAAATGTGATTGGACGCACAAGGAATTTGTCTCTGATGCATAAGTTCTCGGTGTACATACAAGCAACAAGTGATAAATCATCATAATCATAAAATACAATCGTCATAAAACATAAGATACAAACTCGGTGATAGTTATACAGTAGGATACTAAATAAGCAAACAGCAGCAGCAATCTGTTGGCTGGAGACCCCTTCAAGAGAAGATCTTTCTAGGTCTGGATCAGAGAGAAAGTCTCACAAGACCATTCAAGCCCACTGAAAAATACCCCTTTCAACAGATCCACCTGGGAATAAATGATCTATCCTTGAAGACACCGCTAGGTGCTGAGAAGCAGCGAGTAAGAGGATGGAGGCCCTGCAGGCCAAGTGTCCTTTCCTTCACTTTTTTCTTATCAAGGAACATACAGTAGTCCAGAAAAATAGAGAGTACTGAAACTGAGTAGTTGGCCAAGCAGATGGTGCTAATGGGACTCTTAGCAAAATAGGCTATGCTGTGTATTGCATGAGAAGTAGGAAGAACGTATTTGGAAATCACCTTGCAAGGCTTATCTGGAGAGCTTTAAACTGAAGTTGGGAGGTGGAAGGAAGAAAGCCAAAAAATAATGGGAGACCAACTGCTGAGAACAGGACTGAGAGGACGACACAGGAGTCCATGGAGATTCTCAGTCGTCCAAGTCATGGTTGTCCCAAAGGTAGTCCAGTTGCCTCTTGGAAAAGCACCTTCGGGAGGACACAGAAGGTTACGGCACCTGATAATGTCTTTATACCAGCGCATGTAGCAAGGAGAATAACGCCTCTCACCACCAAAGCCCTGCTATGCTGCTGTCTCCTTGTGGCAGGGTATGAGCTGGGAGAGATGATCAAAGGAGAGCAGGAGCTTATGACAAATACATGTATTCTCAGCAGGTCACTCAAGGCACTGAAGGTCAGTCATCTCAGCTGCCCACCTAAAGCAAACAGGCACCTAACTTTGGCAGCAGTAATATAGGAAAATCCTGGAGATGGATGATCACTTTAGGGACAACAACAAAAACATAATTTCATATTGCCGTGTCAGAATTTAATATATTTATTTGATTTCATCTCAGCAAACAACCCTGGGTGGCTACAGAAATCAAATAAATTAATTAAATAACTTTATGGCGGCTTTAATGGTAAACCACTTCTATATTTTACTAAGAAGAGCACATGGATAGAAAATATAAATAAAATAATATTATTTTTTATATTGAATAAATAATGATATAGTGCTGGATGATGGTTCCCCTCGGGTCAGGTGGTATTCAATATACTATTGAGTAAGAGCTGAAAATCCTTTGTAGAGCTAATGGAATGTTTGTGACCTGCCGAGGATAAAGCCTTTTTGATGGATAATTTTTGATGTTGCCATGCAGGGGAAAAATCCAAAGCTGCAGTTACAGTGGGAACATGGGAAGTAAGAAGCATGAATGTAGAAAAGCTCAATACAGTGAAAAATGAAATGAAACAACTGCGGGCTAACATCTTAGGAATCAGAAAATTGAGATGGACTGGGATTGGGCATTTTTAGTCAGAACATCATACTGTTTTTACCACTCAGAACATTAAAAAAAGAAGAAAGAATGGCATTGTTTTATAATCAGGAAGAATATAGCAAAGACAGTCCTTGATTACAGTGCAGACAATGATAAGATATTGTCATTTTCCACTATGGGCACACTGGCTCACATTAAAATGAAATTCTGTTGCCTGCTTTCAAAAGAAAGTATGCATCTACCCATACACATACACAACATACATATACATATGCTATATACATACATACATATGCATACACACACACATACACTCCCATACTAAATATATAAATATAAATATTAATCATTTTGAATACATAGCAGAAAGAGAAAACTTGAGAGTTCACAAGGTTGATGCTATATGGAACAAAACTGTGACTGAATCTGGATGTTCTGCTTCAAATAACACAAGCCTCCTCCCAGAAGGTAACAAAGAAAACAGGTTGTGAAGAGGATGTGTAGTGTCCCAGACAATCCTGTGGACCCTGCTCAAGCAATGCTAATGTGCCATGTCATGGATAGAAGGAAGTGAACTACCAATAATCTTTTCTGCCATCCTCATCACTCTCTGCCTTCCTATCCAAAACAGTGATGCTTCCAAACCAGGTAGTAACGCAATATGACAGGATGCTATTGATTGTCCCTCTGTAGAAAGTGGTCAGGACAGGGGAAGGAAGATGTACTTTTCTCATGCGACGCAGAAAATGCAGGTGCTGCTTGTGCCCACTTCATCAATGATTTTATGATATCAACTAGATTTCATGTACAACCCTTTAATATGGCAATTATTTAAGTTTATGCTCCAACCACTAATACAGAAGATGAAATTGACAAGTTATATAGCCAAGTTCAATATGAAATTGAAACAATGTGCCAAGAAGATGTGCTGCTGGTGGCTGGAGACTAGACTGCCAATCTTAGAAATACCAAGGAAAACATGGCTTGATTATAGGGCCCAAGAAGCAGAAATGAAACAAGAGAGTGACTTATCAATTCCTACAAACCCAATGATGTTGTCATTGCTGACACTGTCCTCCACAAGCAAAATTCCAACTATATACATAGCCTTCACCAGATAGAGCGCACAGAAATCAAATTATTGGTGCAAAAGGTAGAAAAGCTCAATTAGAACAGAAAAGGCATGGCCAGGGCTGACAGTGGAATGGATCGTGAACTCTTCATATGCAAGTCAAGCAAAGGCAAAAGAACTAATCCAATCAATTTCCAAGATATGATATTGAGCACATACTCACCATTTTCAAAGGAGAACATAAAGGAGAAATTACTTAGAAATTCTGAATTTCATTGACAAAGAACCAGAAAAATTGTGGAATTAAATCAAAATTGTTCAAGATGAATGTCAAAAGAGACTGCCAAAGAAACAGAAGAAAGCAAACTGTATCTCAGAACAGATGGTGGAAGTTGCTAAGAAGAGAAGAGTAGCCGAAGCCAAGAAAGACATTACCAAATTAGTAGATTACATGGATTGATGGGATATCTTCAGAAGTATGGCAAGCAACAGAAGAATTAGTAAAAGTTCTAACCAAACTGTGCCAGCACATGTGGAGAACAGAGTGGCCCAGAAGACCTGGTTTTGCTAACGAGCTTGGGGTCCTGAGAATATGCTTGAGTCTATAACAGGGGTAGGCAACCTTGGCTCTTTTATGACTTGTAGACTTCAACTCCCAGAATTCCTGAGCCAGCATGGCTGACTCAGGTATTCTGGGAGTTGAAGTCCATAAGTCATAAAAGAGACAAGGTTGCCTACCTCTTGTCTATAATATGGCTGTGCTAATTGTTGTTGCTTGCTATATATCTTACTTATTACTTTTTATCATTGTTTTTATCTTGTTTTCATAATTGTTAGCTACCCAAAGTCATGTATTTTACATGGGCAGACCCAGAATTTGAATAAAAATAGTAAATGGATAAGATAAATCTGTTTAGATACAAATACCAAAGAAAGGTGACTTACGAGAAGGTCTAAACTATCCTAATTTTTACTTGCTAGCAAAATAATGCTTATAATCTACCAATGCAAATTAAAGCCCTACATGGAATGAGTGATGCCAGATGTTCAAGCTGGTTTTTAAAAAGCTAAGAAACAAGAAACCATATGAATGCATCCTGGATAATTTAGAAGACAAAAAAAATACCCTCCAAAATGTAAATATGTGCTTCATTGATTATAGAAAGATTGTTGGCCATGTCAAGTTGTGTAACATCCTTAGGAAAATTGGAATCCCAAAATATATCTTGTCCTTCTATGAAATCTCTACACAGGACAAAAAGCCACTGTGTAGATGGAACACAGCCAGGACATTGGTTCCAAGTTGGGAAAGGAATTAAATAAAGCTATGTACTTATTTATTCAACCTATAAATTAA